TCCTTGTAGAAAAAACATTCAGAAGCAAATTTAATAAGCAGAATTCGAGTTGAAATCAGAATAAGAATCGTTAAAATACAAACAATAACCAACCCTATTTCCTGATAAAAACAGAAGACAAACATGGAAAGAAAGACCTTTCAGAAAACAACTAAATGTTTGTATCTGCAAGCAGTATTTTTATAATGCAATTTTGATATATTCTTAATATTCACAATACTTCAAAACACAATGGTTTATTGCTTACACAGACATCTTACCTGCTTGTTCCAGAAAGGCTTCTGCATGTGCTGGCTTCCCAATCCGACCAGAGTATATAGGCCACACAGACACTTTGTAGCGAAAAAACTTTTTCAGGTCCGCTAGAATTGACATTGAAATCAAAAGTTTAACTGAAGGTTAGTTTGCAGTAAAATTTGCAGTCCCTAAAATACTTAACTAGCCCCTTTCTGACATGCCCTCCTTTCTGCTGATCTGATGTCAACTGAACCCTAGTCAGTTTTCCCTGAAAGTTGCAACAGGCCAGCTTGTTATTCTTTGTTTTCTTTGTGTGGGAAAGTTAAGGTTGACGGACAACTTTTGTTTGTTGTTATGGACATTGCTCAGATTTGACGCATACTGTGCCGCTGGCGTTTCTTGGAAATGGGAAGAGTGGGCAAGCTGGGGACGAAACAACCAAGCAGCCAAAAGACTACACAGCTTTGGCAGGTGGATTTCAAGTAACACATAAATTAAGTGTATCACAAGAACTGTTGCAGCAAATATGTCTAAATCTTTACACCGCTTAATCCTCACTGGGGTCGCGGGGGACTATATTGGACGTTGTATGAAGCCTATGATGCTTTCTGCACAGTGCTATAGTAGCATGGTATGATGGACCCAAGCTGAAGACAGCCTTCTCTCCATGCATCAAACTACACACCAACATTTTACAGCCACTTTACAATATACCAGGTGTGTGATTCACTATCAGTAAGGACAGATTTGCTAAGATGAGTGAAACAGCCCTTAAAAATGTATGTAACAAACTCCTCTTAGATATATTTGTTTACATTTTTTTTTTTTTTTAGAAGAAGAAAGAGATTACCTTTAATGAAAGTGTGTGTGGTGTTTCCACTTTCCCTCTGCCAGTCTAACTGATTATCACTGACCCAGTCCACCACATATTCTGACACATTTCTATTGTTGGGGGGTTTCCATTCCAGCGACAGTTGACCCTCATGTGGCCGCACCATCAGCTCTTCCACCGGGGCAAACTCTGCAATAGATGCACAAACACAAAAGTATGACACAAACAGCTGATATCACGTCATTACTGGAATGCTGCTGAAAGTCTTCTATTTGACGTTTTTCCATTTATTACCCACCTAGCCTCAATTTAGAACAGAAGACTAAACTTACTGAGGATTTGTATCTCTCATTCTGACAAGTCAATGGTGACACACAGTGTACCGGGATGGGTTAAAACCTTCCAGAAGATTTATTACTGATCAGAAAGTAGTAGCTGTCAAACACATTTTTAAAAAAATAAATAAAAAATGTAATTCTATCAGCTACTTTTGCTTATCAGTGGTTATGTAGGGTGCAAGGGATCTGTGGTCACAGCACTAATTCTGATGTGACCAGTTCAACAGCCTTTCTCAAAGACCCTTCTTGATACAAAGTTACTTGTCTTTGTCTCACATCCTCTCAATAACGGTATGCAATCAGGTCAGCCTGGATTCAGATGATTACGAATAAAAGAAACTGTAAAGCTGTTGACTGATAAAGCAAAACAGAAAACTGTCTGCACATGTGTGTTTGCGGGCTTCTGCAAGCAAGCACAACGACTACAGTGCAAAGGAGGTGAACGATAATAGCCAAAAAAATTGCAACTACTGTGTTCAGCACCAGCATGTGTCTGTGTGCACATGATCAGACAAGATGCAGCAAACACAGCAGCTATGTGGTAAAACAGCATATCATACTGTAGCACTCGTCACATATGGATGTGTATGTGTATTCCTATTTGGTAATGTGATTTCTCACCTAAGAAGCTATTTGCTCCTGCTACACTGCTGAATATCACACCATGTTTACCAGGATATGTTCATATTATGTCAATGTTACTGTGGTTCAGATATGTCTACATGTCAATAATCAACATTCTCGTGCTTGTGCCAAAAGCAATACATGCACTGGTTTAAACTATACCTTGCAGGTGTGCCTAAAAGAGTGGCTTGTACCTCAGAGTCACCACAGACACTTACCATTGGCGTTTGCAGGGATGACCAACAATGCCTTCTGAGATTTCCCCACAGAATTAATGGCGGTGACGTGCACTTTAACAGACTTGTTGTCAGTCAAGGGAATCTTTTTAAGTAAAGTAATCCTCTCGGACTTGTTGACAGAAATATGTTCCCATTCCCGACTTCCATTCTTGACTTTATCCTTTGAATCCTGGTTTTGAATCATTATGTCAAATCTTGTTATCCTCCCATTGGCAAGCTCAGGATCCTGGCAGGGTCAAAGTCACACACTGCATGTTAACTACCACTTAAGGGCCAAGTGTACAGAATAACAACTAACAGTATTGCTAAATGGGTTCCAAAAGAAACTAGTATGCAAGCATCTTTAAGAAGTCAAGCTGTAAAATTTAACATCTTTTAGGTTCATTTCCATTCTATGTCATTGTGCACTATGTATTTAATTATTCTGATTAATTACTTTATGCATTGCTTTAGTTGTAAACGACCCAAGAATACATAACCTGTCAAATTCATTCATTCATCCATTCAGTAATTAATCGTTCCTTGATACTCCTCAAAGCATTAATCTCCAAACAATATTTTGACCATGGATAAACATAAGCACTTTATGAAGAACTTTACTTTTACTAGCTTATTGCCCAGTATCATGATGAGGCAGCACATGGTAAACAGTAAACACCTGCATCTCTTTTGAGCACATGGGCTACAGGTTTAGTACCTGTCCTCTCTTTACAGGGTTTGCTATTAGCAATTACTTTATGGATTCATTGTCTCCACTGAACCTCTGTTTGGTGGTGCACTATAGCAGAGGACTGCGCCACGCAGCATGCTTAACATATCTAGGTTTTGTTTGTGTAAACGCAATCAACAAATCCTAAAACCCCAGTCAGAGATAACAGATGTAACAGTGGTGGTTACCACTTTTTTATGTGAAGCCAGGCTATCTGCTTCAGTGTGGGCATTCACATGAAAGGGGCACATGATCTGCCTTATCTGTGTTTTATCAGCTGTTGCACCTCCAGTGAAAAAAATAGGCTTGGCAGCAAATCAGTGGCATGTATAAGAAACATGTTGGTGCATTTTCTGTATCATCAATTAAATACATGTAGGTTCCGGTGGCAATGCCGGATTACTAATGTACAGCTCAACAGGTTTGCAAATACACCAAAATTTCATATAATGTGCACAACAGTTCCACACAGAAGGGATGCCATATTAAACCTTGGATTTTACACAGTTTCGGATGTTTTACATTTTGCCATCAATGATAATATTAGAATGATTTGGCAAAACAGCTTTTTGTGTTAAACTGAATGTGATGTGGGAATTTACCTTAGAAATAAACTGCACTTCTCGTCCATTCATGCCATCATCAGCAACGATTATCCATAAATCTGGTTTACTTCCTGGTCCTACATCAAAAAAATGAAAAAGGAAACAAAGTCTTGCAATTAAAAACAAAAGGAACCTAATCACAACATACAGTCATAGACAAAAGTTTACATGCACTTGTAAAGAACGTATGTATCATGGGAGTGTTGAGTATCCAAAAATCCAATAAATTAAGAGTTTTCTATGATGGAATCATTGCAACCCATTAGTATTTATCACCAAAAAAAAAAAAAAAAAACAATCATGCATTTTAACTCTTTCATAGACTTATTATAGGTCTTCTGTACATAATAAACCGCTGGTTACAAAAGTGAGTAAGTGAAAATGTGAAAATGTCCAAATTGGGCCCAATTAGCCATTTTCCCTCCCCAGTGTCATGTGACTGGTTGGTTTTACAAAATCTCAGGTGTGAATGGGGAGCAGGTGTGTTAAATTTGGTGTTATCGCTCTCACAGTCTCTCATCCTGCTTACTGGAAGTTTAACATGGCACCTCATAGCAAAGAACTCTCTGAGGATGTGAAAAACAGAATTGTTGCTCTACATAAAGATGGCCTAGGCTATAAGAAGATTGTCAACATCCTGAAACTGAGCAGCAGCACGGTGGCCAAGACCATACAGAGGTTTAACAGGACAGGTTCCCCTCAGAACAGGCCTCGTCATGGTTGACCAAAGAAGTTGAGCACACGTGCTCAGCATCATATGCACAGGTTGTGTTTGGAAAATAGAAGTGTGAGTGCTGCCAGCATTGCTGCAGAGGTTGAAGGGGTGGGGGGGTCAGCCTGTCAGTGCTCAGACCATACGCCGCCGCACACTGCATCAAATTGGTTTGTATGGCTGTCATCTCAGAAGGAAGCATCGTCTAAAGATGATGCACAAGAAAGCCTGCAAACAGTTTGCTGAAGACAAGCAGACTGAGGACATGGATTACTGGAACCTTGTCTTGTGGTCTGAAGAGACCAAAATAAATTTATTTGGTTCAGATGGTGTCAAGTGTGTATGGTGGAAACCAGGGGCCTCATGTACAAAGCGTGCGTACGCACAAAAACTTGGCGTACGCACTTATCCACGCTCACGTTCAGCTGTTTCAAGAGTGAAATGAACGTGGAAATGTGCGGTCCTCCACACCAACTCCTTGACTGGCGTACGCACGTTTCTATTGCTTTTGAGCCGTTGGCGACACTTAGAGGTGATGCTGGGAATATAAAAATGTAAAAAAAAAAAGGTAATTCCTCAAAGTGATGTGCACATCAGAGACACTTAGACGAACACTTAACACACCCAGGTGTTTGCAATCAGATGAGCGGATATAAAAGTTTATAAAGTAAAATGGTGCAGAAGATACCGTTAACAACAATGGCAGCTTTGGACCTGTTGGAGGATATTGCCAATGGAGCAGTGCCAAGAGAACGGGTTTCCAGAGACCTCAGGACGACGACTAGATCATCAGCCGCTTTACGTTCCCGAGGGCAATTCACTGAGAACTGTGCGCGAAGCTGCGGCCATTATTGGAGCGCAACACGTCCAGGAGCCATGTCCTACCTGTGCCCATACAGGTGCTGACCACACTGGGCTTC